TACAGTCTTTAATTGCATTATCACATACTATTTGTCTCAGTCTTTCATCCGCCCACTCTCTGGCTCCCAGCACACTCACCAGTTTTGCTTCTTGGCTCCCAGTTCCAGTCTCTTTACCCAGTCAATCCCAATCTACCCTACCCTCCCAATCCCAGTTTCCCTCTTCCCTACCCACTATCAGTCTCCAGTACCAATTTCTGCCCCACTCCCAGGCTCCTTGTCCCAATACATTTCCCCTGCCACCTTCCCCTCGCACAGGTCTAGCACTTGTCCCCTCTGCATCTGAAGCAAGCAGTTTTCCCCTCCATGCTGCCTGGGCCCAGTAGGGAGGTCATTGAGAGCACAGGACATATAGGCTCCCTGATCTCAGTTCAGATGTCCAGACCCAGGATGGCCCACCGCAGTCCAGAACTGCAATTGCAAGTAAAGTCCTGCTCAGCCCTGTGCTGGAGCATGCTCACTGAGGACAGAATCTTTGTGGAATTTAGCTGCTAAAGTCTAAGTCATGTCTGCTGAGCATGTGCAAACTGCCATTTTTCAAAGGCCTTGGCCAAACTTAAGTGGATTTTCACAGGGATGCAAAAGGCACATCCCAGACACATCTTTAGCCCACCTGTTAAATTTCGAGTCCCTGCTCCAAAGCATGGGGGCGTTAGAGCTTTTCAAATAAAAGGTCATCAGAACTTAACAAGGGTAAAACAACATATCTAGCTTCACTCTTGTGTCTGAAATTAAAATAAAATAATAATAATAATTCCCCTGAGGCAGACATCCAGCATGGAACATTTCAGCTCAAATAGTTAAAGTCTGACAAAGTTATAAGCAACTAAAAACAGGGTCTTGTAATGGGGAGATCAAGTAACCTGAATAGGTAGCACTACCAGCCCCACCCACAATACAGTTTCTTTCATCCAAGAATCTCAGAGCACTGTTTAAATATTTATTGATTAAGCTTCAGAAAGCATCTCTGACGATCACTACAATACACCATTTTTACTGCCATAATATTACTGTCATACTAGTGTACAACTAGAGTAACAGAATGGTGAATGAGACTCCAAAATCTTAGATGTTTAAAAAAAAATTAAGATACTATGAATAAAACAGATAAGGAAACACTTTAACTGTGGAAGTTTAAAATTTACATTTTACAATTTATAATTTTTTTTTACTACTATATACCTGACACTTAAATTGGACAATGAAGCTGAACTTGTCAGTTTGATTGTTTATAATCACTCTCACTTTCTGGCTCTTTACCATTATCAGAATACTGTTAGTGTTAAAGTGTCCAACTTTGCATGGAAAATATGTTTTCAATTTTACTTTTTAATTAAATATAATTAAACCTCACATTCGGGACCTAAAATACTTAACAGCATCCCTTTCATCTTCAATTTCTTTATTGAAAGAATAAGGGCGGGTCATGGAAAAGCAAGCTTGCCACTACCACAGAGAGGAAAGGAGAACTTTTTCCGTGTACAGGGACAGGAAGAAAATTAAAACAAAAAAATTAAATACATATACATTTTAAAATGTCAACATACTTATTTCTACTGGAAACATGGACAAGAATTCATCATTTTAATGTCTTGAACAGGACTGACACATTTATATATCATTTTCATTTTAAATGCAACTTTGTAAAAAGAAAGGAAAATGTTGTTAGTAATGTATACTGGTAAAATTATTGTCTAATTCCTGTCTCTCTCTCACACACCACTATAGTTCTTTTAACTATTTTAATTTGCTTTCTTACATAGTACATAATTATAATGGAAATAGGCAGACAAAAACAGTACAGTGATAAAATAAAAGGTCCTTGAAGTATGGGATCAGCCTCAGATATTAAACCAGATTTTATGCTATATAGAAACAGAGGCTAACTCAATACCTTTCAGGCCAAAAATTGTGGATTTCACTTTTACAGAAACTTGCACCACATTGACAAAGTATTTGCACCTGATATTCTGCAATCAGACATCTCCTATGGTAATACATACATACACATATGCTTATTAATTATATATATACACACACACATATATATATATAAACACACATACATACATACACACACACACACCACTGGGTTAAAGGAGAGGACCAGGGGAAAATTACCCAAACCTGTAAATTCCAGATTATCTCCCTAATTCTGCAAATTTAGATCTACCAGTTTAGAGTCCCACTGAAGCCAACTGGACTAACCAGATAGATTCCATTGCAGAATCCGGGCAAAAGGGACTTCCTGGGCATAACAAGAAAATAATTAGTAGTTGTCCATAATGCCTAGCTACTAGAGTACTTCAAATTTACTTTCTACATTAGGGGCAACAGAAATATGAAGGAAAGTATTGGTCCTCTACTTCATGGCAAAAGAGAGCTAAAAAATGATGACAACAAGAAGGTTGTGGTTCAATGTCTATTTTGCTTCAGTCTGCACTAAAACGGTTAATGGTGACCAAATACTCAAGATAATTAACATTGACAAGGAGTAAGGAATGCAAGCTAAAAGAGAGAAAGAACAGGTTAAAGTCTATTTAGATAAGTTAAATGTATTCATGTCAGCAGGGGCTTATGAAATTCATTCTAGGATACTTTAAGCAGCTAATGCAATCTTAGAACCATTAGCAATTATCTTCCAGAACTCATGGAAGACGGGTGAAGTCCAAGAGTACTGAAGAAGGGCAAACACAGTACATATCTTTAAAAAGAGAAACAAGGAAGACCCGTGGCATTATAAACCAGGCAGCCCTAACTTAGATACTTGGAAAGATATTGGAACAAATTATTAAACAATCAATTTGTGACCACCTAAAGGACAACAGGGTTATAAGGAGTAGCCAGCATGGCATTGTCAAGAATAAATTGTGCCAAACCAACACAGTTTCCATCTTTGATAGGGTTACTGGCTTAGTGGATGAGAAGAAATAGTAGACATGATATAACTTGATGTTAGTAAGGCTTTTGACACAATACCACATGACATTCTCATAAACAAACTAGGGAAATATGGTCTAGATGAAATTACTATAAAATGGGTGGATAACTGGTTGAAAAAACATACTCAAAGAGTAGTTATCAATAGTTTGCTGTCAAACTGAGAGGATGTATTTAGCGAGTCCCACAAGGGTCAGTCTTGGGTTTGGTACTTGTCAACATTTTCCTTAATGACTTGGATAATAGAGTAGAGAGCATGCTTATAAAATCCATGGATGACACCGAGCTGGGAGGGGCTGCTATTACTTTGGAGGACAGAATTAGAATTCAAAACCACCTTGACAAATTAGAGAACTGGTCTGAAATCAGTAAGATGAAATTCAATAAAGACAAGTATTTCACTTCGGAAAGAAAAATCAAATGCACAGCTACAAAATGGGAATAACTGGCTAGGTGGTAGTACTGCTGAAAAGGATCTGGAAGTGACAGAGGATCACAAATTGAATAAAAGTCAACAATGTGATGTGGTTACGTAACCCACACACCTTCTGGGTGTGGTGTTCTGTCCCATCTAGTGGCACCGAGACCACTTAAAGAGAGAGAGTTAAATGAGTCTGCTCTACAGCCGTAGCTAACAGATAGTTGGCTTTTAGCTCATGCGGTAGAGGCTCATGCACTAAGCTCCCGAGGTCCCTGGTTCAATCCCACCGACAACTGGGGTCTGTTGGCATTACAAGTAGGGGCTCATCTGGGACTTCAACTAAAAAGTCTCTGAAGCTCGGGAGGTGCTCTCTCAGCTAGGGGAAGTATGTAACCTACACATCTCATGGGGGTGGTGTTCTGTCCCATCTAGTGGCACCAAGACCACTTAGAAAGAGAGAGAGTTAAATGAGTCTGCACTTCAGCCAGTGGGCTTTTAGGTCAGGCGGTAGAGGGTCATGCACTAAGCTCCAGAGGTCCCTGGTTCAATCCCACCCACCGAGGAAAGGGTAGTTAAGTTCTGGAATAGGTTTCCAAAGGAGGTTGATAAGAATAGGTTACACAAACATCTGTCAGGGATGGTCTAGGTATACTTAGTCCTGCCTCAGCACAGGGATTGAACTTAATGACTTCTCAAGGCCTCTTCCAGTCCTATATTTCTGTGATTCTTTTGTCCTTTTCCTTCAGATCCCAAAGTAGTTTTTGTTGGATAGTTTCATTTTTGTGTGTTATTTTTGTTGTCTGGTTTTATTTTTTTAATTAATTGTGATTTGATCTGATTTTGAAGACTAAGAGATCCATGTATACAGAAATGATTTTTATTTTTTTAAACACAGAGCCTATGGCAACAAAGCTTTCATTCCAAGGAAACACACCTTTGCACATCTAGTAAAATTTAAGGTAGGGTTGCATTTCAGACCTCTGTGCCCTTACAATGAGACTGCAATTAATGGATGATCCCAGTTTGCCATCGATACTCAGAATATTTTCCCCCTCTAATGAAATGGCTCAGAATTGAAAATAATCTAAGACACGGACTCTTAGTACAAACTAATAATCTGCAAACATTTATTTTTAAAAACATTAATGAGTTACAAGTAAAGAAAAACAACAACAAAGTTTGCAAGTCAGCTTTCCCAACCCAGCCTCCCTAGTTCATTCAAACTGAGTTAAGTTTCTTTTCAGCATGTTTTAAATTTGGTTGTGTTTGTTTTTTTAGTAAGTATTTACAGCCTGATCCTACTACTTTTAATTATGCAAGTTATCCCTTACTCATGGAAAGTAAGGTTGCAAAATCAGGATCTGAATCTTTAGTCTTTGACAAAAGGCCTCTAGGAAGAAAAGCCTGAGTAGCAATAAGTTAGCCTTCAGCGGGGCTAGCTGCCTAACTAGTGAACTGTAGGAGACATTTGGTCTACATTACAGTAAACGAACAGGGCTCGCAGAATGCAATTTTTAAAGTTTAATTATGCTCTTGGGTGAAAAGAAGCAAACTGTTAAATACTGATTTAAATGACCCTTTGTCAATTACATTTATCAGTAATAAATTCCAAGTTCTGACATGCCTTGCCAATACTCACAGAAACCTTCAATCTTGTCAGCTGTCTTGCTCCAGGCCACCTGCCTGGTTTCCATTATGACTTGGATAGTTCTCCTTTCTGGAGTAAACTTCTTGAGACTGAACACTGTCATAACTGTTCCCAGCTCCAGAGCCCTTTTGATCTGGCTCTTCTCATACTCCGGCAGCACTCCATAGTCTGTGCTCTTCCTGGACATTTTTTAAAATCAAATTTCATCAAACTGATACGTTCCTGATGTGCTGAAAAGGGGGAGGAGAGAAGGGAGCAAAATTTAATATTTAAATAACTTTATTTTGTTTTAATTCCTTCAATTTACCAAAAAAAAAAAAAAAAAAAAGCACATCAGTGTTGAAAAAAGATCAATATGAATCACTGCACTTCAGGTGCAAGCATATTGTCTTATAGCTATCTGGTTAACCTTGACAACAGTCCTACCTAGTCTGTGAGGTTTTATGAAAAGTGTTTCACTGGGGGAGGGATCAGTGACCCAGTGTAGCAGGATTCAGAACAATCAGCTGGGTGGAGCAGCCTTAGCGTTCAATGAAATATGATCTCAGATTCTAAACAACAAAACAAGAACTCCACTGTTTCATCAACAATGCAACGATAATGACTATCTAACGTTCCATAGTAGCATAAGGCGTGCTAAGGTCATTCTGGCCCAAATTTATAACAGTATGTGAACAAATGCTCTCCCCATCTCTTTGGTGTATGCAGGAAAGCTGGGATTGCAAGCATGAAAAGGTAGCACAAATGCACGACTCTTGATTTGCATGCACACACAGTTACAAATGTGGTCTGTCTCTTTCAAATATTATCTGCAACATTATGCAGGAGGCTCAAAATTATATTTTATACAGTGGATGATTTGATTCTCCCCAGAAACAACAGAGAAGACATGGGAGAGAAAACAGTATAAGAAGAGACATAAGAGATACGCTCACTATAAGCATAGCTGTGACAAAGAGGAGAAAGCATCTGAAACTAAAAGGAGATGCACGTGTACATGAGAGAAGACTGTGCCTATCTTATAACAAAGAAAGCAGCTAAAAATAATCAAGAAACCAGATAAGTGTGAGGGATTATTTTGTTCAAATTCTAAGTCTAGGTCTACATTAGAAACTTTTGCTGGTATAGGAACCTCAGTTAGAAGTGTGATTTGTTTGCAACATTTCTAAAGCAGCAAAAGGCTTAGTATAATGCAGTTTCCACTGGCACAAAAATACTTGTCAGTATATCTTATTTTGCTTACCAAACCAGTATAAACTATACCAGCAAAATAACCTTTTTTACCAGTATAAACTGTGTCAACAACAGGAGAGTTTGCCAGTATAGCTATACCAGTATATCTAGTATACCTAGTATCTAGTATACCAGTATATCTAGTATATCTAGACTGACAACCCTTTTCCAGCATAGACTTGGCCTAACAAATTGATCCAAATTGTATTGTAACCACTGGAACTCATTTCTGTGTGGTCAGTAAACTTTTCCATAAGAAGTGTGCCCTGGATCCTTTTACGCCACATAATAATGTCTACAGGGTCTTTCTTTTACTAAGGTGCACCCCATTCACACCAAAAGGTAAAAAATAAGCTTTGAATCCTTCAGCGAATAATTCTCTTTTACATGGCGACCCAGTAGTATCACTAGAGGGGCCAATGCAGTCAGGATCCGATGAATTCAAAGATTAAATCACAGGCAAATGTCCAGAATTTGGTCTTCTTTGGGTAGTCTCAGCACATGTTAAATGACGTACCTTCCACCCCATGGCCCAGCTCTCCAACAACCGTCAGAAAGGGTTTTTTCTATTTTAAAATTATTATTGTTTTACAAGGAGAGAGGGACCACTGACCCGTCACTCTTAGCAATTCTCTTTAATAGAGACACATATAGAGAAGGTAGCAGCTTTATTCCAAATGTGAAAGCACTGCTCACTTTCTCTCCCTATAAGTCTTCCCATTTTAGAATACCACCATATTTATCTTCTATATCAGTTTTTTTCAAGTGTTCTATGTGCAAACTAAAACTTTTAGGGCACGTTGACACTGCATTTAGACACCCGCGGCTGGCCCGTGCCAGCGACTTAAACAGTATGTTAGCCCAAGCCCTGTGAGTCTAATTGTGGTTTAGATATTCCAGCTTGGGCTGCAGCCTGAGGTCTGGGACCCTCCCACCTGCAGATATCTACATGACTGAGTCCCGCAAGCCTGAGTGAGCTGGCACAGGCCAGCCACAGGTTTTTAATTGCAGTGTAGACATACCCTTTGAGCCTGAAAGCCGGATATTACGATTTCCCTTCCTGTCAGAAATCTCTAGAAACCCTTTACATCCTGGGTATTAAGAGCATAGTGGCTTAGATACCAATAAGGGAGAAAAAGGCTCTGCAACAGTTTTCAAGTATGCCAAAAAACTTACCATTCTTAAATAATTTATCCCTAACTCTGAGTCTGGCCTTCTCCCAGGGTGCAAATGCTGCTTATAAACTGCTTGGGGGAAAGCCTGGATTATTTCTAATTGGGGTGAGAAGGGAAAAAGAACTAATTCTTCTCTTGCTCTGTCCTATAAAGAAAGTATTAAATTGACACTTGAGGGGGCCTTTGATGTCTGGGCAGAAAGTTGGCTGGGAAGAACCCAAATTAGTGTTGCTGTCTCTCTGCCACTACACCAAGAGGAGCTGAGAGTGCTGCAGGAAGGATGGTGACTGAAACTTGGGATAATGCAAGAAAAGGCTACATCCTGGGTCAGATCCTCAGTTGGTGTAAACTGTCAAGGCTCCACTGAAGTTAGTAGAGTGATGACAATTTACACCAGCTGAGGCTATGACCCATGACTCGGAAGAGGACAAGAAAGACCACAGGGAAAAATACAAACAAATTACAATATTGTATTTAATGTCAGTCTTTGCACTTTTAAAGCCTTATGACCATACGGTACTTACATCTCCACATGGTCACTTCATCTCTTATTTATGTGACAAATGGCACATGTTTCTGTACATGACAGCCATCAAGTGAGGAGACCACTGCAACACAGTGCTTAATTTGTAATGAGAGAGGTGCAGAGGCTCAAGCCATTTTTTTTACATTCATAACTAATGCAGCAAGCCCAGAGGTGCCGGGACTATGAACTGGCAAGCCTAGAGACCTGGCACAAATTAAGCACTGCTGAGAGACACAAGAGGCCCAATACACATGCTGCAACTCTCATAAATATCGAAAGGCTTCCAAGTCTCAGTCTCCTGCACATCACTGCAGCCGTGAACTAATTACAGTCGCAGGTACACCTCACCCTGGTGCAGAATCCTGCACACAATGGACACTGTGGAGCCTACTCTTTCATCCACGAGCAAAGGAGGAAGTGGTTTAATTTTTGCACAAGAAGCAGTGGCTGTCGCCACAGCTTTCTTGACATCTCTCTCAACCAAGGCCAGTAGTAGGAAGGGCTTAAAGCCCCTCAGAGCAGCTTCAACTACCAGCTCCAGAATCTCCTCTGGTTCTCTTCCTCTCCTAAATCCACTACCCTTCAACATGAACAGTTTCAGTTTCCATGTGGATAACCAATCTGAATCTGCTGCTGCTTGTTTCCCTTGTAACCTCCTTCTTTAACCTATCTTCCCCCCCATCACCGTCTCCCGACCTGATCCTTACTACATACTATTCTCTTCAGATCTCCCTCCTCCTCTCTCTCTCTCTCTCTCAACACTTACTTTCTTTTCACCATCTCATCATCCACTCCTTTCACAATGTCCACTCTCCCAACCTTCTCAAAGTTCTCTGCTATAGTCACCCTTCTCTTTCAAATCCCTTCTTAAATAATACTTCTTCACTGAATTCTTCCTACTGTACACTGATGAAGAAGATAATGATCTCTTAATTCCCTGTTATCTCATTTTATATTAGATTCTAAGCTCTCTGGAGCAGGGACCATGCCTTAGCCCATGTTTTGCAAAGCACTACAGAGGTTTATGGTGTTCTGTACCCATTTATTCATATTAAATTCTTCTACTAACTCTAATGGGAGTTATATATGCCAATCCCCAGGGAACGATGACAAATTACCTATCAGGGCCATTGTGTGGGTAGGATTTAGCCGAAAGTGCAATCGACCCTTTTGTCTCTATAGGACTAATCGCATAATTCATTCATGAAATTATAGCGGATTCATATCTAGTGATCTACCCATAATCCCTTGTTACAATGCCTTCCAATAACAGGATATAATGGCAATTCATGAGGGGGAAAAAAAAAAATCAAAGGAAATCCTTGATCTGACTTTTAAACATGCACTACTGTTCTCACTCTTTCTTTCCTTCCTTCCTCCCCCCTCCCCCCCCACACACGACCCAAAATTAAGAATTGCATTAACATCAATCGGACCATAATTCAAATCTGTAGCACTGAGTCTTCAAAAAATAACTTTTAGAAGTTCGGGTTTTTTAATGCTCCACTGAATTATATACAGTCAAGGGCCTGACTACTAAATTTATCTCATTTTCTTGATAATCTAACAAAACAGTCTTTTGTAGGGACCAACACTAGCTGTGAAGAGAAACCTGACAAATTAAAGAATTACGTTTATTTCATTTGAGGAATGCTTTTGGGCAGTCTTTTAACACAGGAAGTTGCCTAGTGAGGGTGGGTCTTTTGTACACTTTTCAATGTATATGGTACATTGGTTTTAATAAATTTCTGCTCCTAAATTTTCTGAGAATTATAAAAGATTATCTTTTCCCCGCTAAAGATGTATCCATCTTCATTAGTTATTTGATCATTTATTCTAAATCTCAAGATACATATCAGTGATCAGGTTTGTGCTGTACTCTGAAATCATCCTAAATTTAATTATATCTACTTCATTGAACAGACATGGAGAAAGATCTGTTGGGTGGACTAAAAATCTTAAATTGACAGACAGCCCCCCAACCTGAAGCAAATACTCACCAGCAACTACACACCACACAACAAAAACACCAACCCAGGGACCAAACCCTGCTACAAACCCCGGTTCCAACTCTGTCCACATATCTATTCAAGGGACACCTTACCACATCAGCCACACCATCCGGGGCTCATTCACCTGCACATCTACCAATGTAATATATGCCATCATGTGCCAGCAATGCCCCTCTGCCATGTACATTGACCAAACCGGACAGCCTCTATGCAAAAGAATAAATGGACACAAATCTGACATCAGGAATCATAACATTCAAAAACCAGTAGGAGAACACTTCAGTCTCTCTGGTCACTCAGTAACAGACCTCAAAGTGGTAATTCTTCAACAAAAACGTCAAAAACAGACTCCAACATGAAGCTGCAGAACTGGAATTAATTTGCAAACTAGATACCATCAGATTAGGCCTGAATAAAAACTGGGAGCGGTTGGGTCATTACAAAACCTAAACTTAATTTCCCCAGTACTAATTTCTCCCTACTGTTACTCACACCTTCTTCTCAACTGTCTGTAATGAGCCATTCTCTTACCACTTCAAAAGTTATTTCTCCTCCCTTGGTATCCTGCTCTTAACTGATTTATCTCCTTAGACTGACCTAACACTTGGTAAAGCAACCTACATCCTTTCATGTATTTATACCTGGTCCTGTATCTTTTACTTCATACATCTGATGAAGTGGGTTCTAGCCTACAAAAGCTTATGCCCAAATACATTTGTTAGTCTTTAAGGTGCCACAAGGACTCCTTGTGTTTTTTTTTGTGTGTTTTTTTTAACCAATGTAGATGTACTATTTGACCTATCAGAAATTTTTTTTGTCTATTCATCAAAGTATTTATTTATTATCACAGTATCTGAGCATGCCACAGTCAGTGGACTTCAGCCTCACAGTACCACTGTGACGAACAGAAGTGTTATCCCTCTTTTAAAGATAAGGACCTGGAGTAGAGGGGAAAATAAATGACCAGTGCAAAAGAAGTCTATGACTGAGCTGGGAATTGAACACAGTAACAGTTCTAAACACATATCTAGTCCCCAGTTAACTAGATTATCCCTTCCTACTCCCACAGTCTGATGTGGGCAGACAATAGAGGTGATGGGGGGTCTTGCATACATCACATGGCAGGACTGGGAACGCTGAATTTACTATATAATCTCACTAATTGGCACTAAAGGCTAGAAAAACATTTCAAATAACTAAGAACAACTACAATGCGAACAGAAGATATACTACCTTTATTTATTCAGGCAACGGTAACTTGAGTTACTCTATTATAGTGCTTCATAATTTGTAAAGACAACTTCTTTGTATTCCAAGAGCTCTCCACACCTACCTGCTAACAGATCTTTGCTGCGAAGCAGGGAAAAGAGAAAGAACTGCACTAAATGCAAATTATAACAAATGTAGGCTCATGTGATGCTGCAGCATTTGTTATGATAATAATTTCTTGTAGTTGCACACATGATATGCAAGGTACTTTCCAGGGATCCTAGGTGGGACAGGAAGGATGGTGTGGCAGCAGCATCTGGAGATCTCTGACCTATGGCAGGTCACTCACTATTTGTTTGGCCTAAATCCCCTTTGTAAAAGGAGTTAGTAGTACCTGCATTCACCACCCTGCTTGGTCTTAGCTACTTAGATCGCAAGCGCTGTCTGGGCAGGGACCGCCTCGAGCTGGGTTTGTACAGCGCCTAGCGCAACTGGGCAGGGCTCTCAGCAGAAGTTACCCTCGGGACAGCTTCAGGCCGGCCAGAAGGGAAGGGAGAAGCAGCCCCAAAGGGCCTTTCTACCCAAGTGCCCCGCTGCAGCCCCAGGAACAACCCTGCAAGGCCAGGCCCAAACACCCAGAGCTCTGCACCCGCTCCCCGGCTCGCCCGCCGCCCTCCCTGACCCCGAGCGCAGGGAGCTCCGGCTGCACGCGCCCCGCCTCGCTCGGGCCGCGCCTGCAGCTGTCAAAGGCTCCCAGCGCTGCAGCGTTTCCTTCCTTCTTTTTGCAGACCGGCCCCGGCCCCGGCCCCGCCGCTGCAGAGCCCAGGGCTGGCGAGAGCCCCCGGCCGGGGGACAGGTGCCGCCCGGGCGCTGGGCCAACGGCCGGGGAGGGGGGGTGGCGCGCTGGGCCAACGGCCGGGGACGGGGGGTGGCGCGCTGGGCCAACGGCCGGGGAGCGCGCGCACCCTCCTCCAGCCCCCTCACCCGCAGCCTCGGGCTCGCTCGCCCCCCTTCCCGCCTCACCTGGGCGCGGGGAGCTGCAGCCCCGGGAGCCTCCCGGCCGGTGCCCTGCGCTGGACACGGCGGCGGAGCCAAGGGTGCCGGTGCCGGTGCCGGTGCCGGTGCCTCCCCCGTTGCCGCTGCCGGGCCGGTCGGTGGCTGGGACTCTCCGAGGCTCCCCGCTTCTGCTTCTGCGGTAGCAACTGGGGGGGGTCATGTGACCTGCCCCGGCCACCTACTGGCGGTGCGGGGAGAGGAGCCTGGGCCCCGGGGGAGGCTGAGGCGGGGCAGGCGCCTCTGTCCCCCCCGCCCCCACGGCCGGCGGGGGCGGGACCCTGGGTTGGGGGCCGGCTCCCCTCAGGGGCGGGGAGGCTGGGCGGGATCCCCCCACCCCCGGGGCAGGTCGGGACCCCGCGGGTCGAGGCCGTAGCGCAGCCTTCAGTCTGACCCATCCCAAGAGTTCACAGACCCCCAGAAACCAGCTCGGATTGAAAATCCCAGGCGGGGGGGTTGCGGGGCTGTTCGGTTTTGTTAATACTAAGCTCCCAGTCCTTTCCCTCTGGGGTGACCGGATAGGCAGTGTAAAAACTCGGGATGGGGGTGGGAGGGGTAATAGGCACCTCGATAGGAAAAAGCCCCCAAAATCGGAACTGTCCCTATAAAATCGGAACATCTGGTCAGCCTATTTCCTGCCTGGCTTTGGCGCCTACCAGGGTTTGGGGGCCAGGGTGCGAGAACTTTGCACCCCTGGGGGGCGAGAAATGTCATTATGTTTGACTAAAAACTGAGATTCGCCCATCTCTTAGGGGACTCCAGATGCTGGGGCTTTAGGGGTAAGACTAAAGGTATGTCTACACTATGAAATTAGGTCGAATTTATAGAAGTTGGTTTTGTGGAAAGCGTTTTTATACAGTCGATTGTGTGTGTCCCCACACAAATGGTCTAAGTGCATGTAGTCGGCGGAGTGTGTCCACAGTACCGAGGCAACCATCAACTTCTGGAGCGTTGCACTGTGGGTAGCTATCCCACAGTTCCCACAGTCTCCGCCGCCCATTTGAATTCTGGGTAGAAATCCCAATGCTTGATGGGGCTAAAACATTGTCGCGGGTGGTTTGGGTACATATCGTCAGCCTCCCCCCCGCCCCGCCCTCTGTGAAAGCAATGACAGACAATTGTTTCTTGCCTTTTTTCCTGGGCTACCAGTGCAGACGCCATACCAGGGCAAGCATGGAGCCCGCTCAGCTCACTGTCACCGTATGTCCCTGGGTGCTGGCAGATGTGGTACTGCATTGCTACACAGCAGCAGCTCATTGCCTTTTGGCAGCAGACAGTGCAGTATGACTGGTAGCCATCATCGCCATACTCCAGGGTGCTCTTTTAGCCAACCTCGGTGAGTTTGGTCACAGGCACCTGGGTAGACATGGGAGTGACTCAGCCAGGTCATTTCCTTTTAAGTTTCATCTCATGGTGATTCAGTCCTGCCGGCAGTCATACTGCACCATCTTTGAGGAGGAGCCAGGAGACGACTATGGCTAGCAGTCGTACTGTACCGTCTGCTGCCAGCAAGATATATAAAGATAGATGAAGTGGATCAAAACAAGAAATAGACCAGATTCGTTTTGTATTCATTTTCTCCCCCCTCCCTCCCTCCATGAAATCAACGGCCTGCTAAACCCAGGGTTCTGAGTTCTATCTTTGAGGGGGCCATTCTGTTTCTCCTTGATCCAAAGCCACCTCCTTTGTTGATTTTAATTCCCTGTAAGCCAACCCTGTAACCCATGTTGTCAGTCGCCCCTTCCTCCATCAGAGCAATGGCAGACAATGTTTCGTGCCTTTTCTCAGCACAGATGCCATAGCACTGGGAACATGGAGCTCGCTCAGATCACCATGGCAATTATGAGCACTATAAACACCGCACACATTATCCAGCAGGATATACAGAACCATAACCTGCAAGAAAAGCGAAACCAAGCGAGGAGGAGGCAACTGCAGCGCGGTGACGAGAGTGATGAGGACATGGACATAGACTTCTCACAAAGTACGGGCCCCTGCAATGTGCACATCATGGTGTCAATTGGGCAGGTTCATGGCGTGGAATGCCGATTCTGGGCCCGGGAAACAAGTACAGACTGGTGGGACCGCACAGTGTTGCAGGTCTGGGATGATTCCCAGTGGCTGCGAAACTTTCGCATACGTAAGGGCACTTTCACGGAACTTTGTGACTTGCTTTTCCCTGCCCTGAAGAGCAAGAATACCAAGATGAGAGCAGCCCTCGCAGTTGAGAAGCGAGTGGTGATAGCCCTCTGGAAGCTTGCAACGCCAGACAGCTACCGGTCAGTTGGGAATCAATTTGGAGTGGGCAAATCTACTGTGGGGGCTGCTGTGATGCAAGTAGCCAACGCAATCACTGAGCTGCTGATATCAAGGGTAGTGACTCTGGGAAATGTGCAGGTCATAGGGAATCCCATTGCAGCAAAGCCATCCACTAACTGTGATGGGGCAACAGACGGAACCCATATCCCTATATTGACACCGAAGGAGTACATAAACCAAAAGGGGTACTTTTCAGTGGTGCTGCAAGCACTGGTGGATCACAAGGGACATTTCACCAACATCAACATGGGATGGCCAGGAAAGGTACATGACGCTCGCATCTTCAGGAACTCTGGTCTGTTTCAGCAGCTGCTTTCTATTGAAACAGGGGACTTACTTTCCAGACCAGAAAATGTTGGGGATGTTGAAATGCCTATAGTTATCCTTGGGGACCCAGCCTACCCCTTAATGCCATGGCTCATGAAGCCGTACACAGGCAGCCTGGACAGTAGTCAGGAGCTGTTCAACTATAAGCTGAGCAAGTGCAGAATGCTGGTAGAATGTGCATTTGGGCATTTAAAAGTGCACTGGCGCAGTTTACTGCATTCACCACCCCGCATTCACCACCTCAACGAAACCAATATTCCCATTGTTATTACTGCTTGCTGTGCGCTCCACAATATCTGTGAGAGTAAGGGGAAGACGTTTATGGCGGAGTGGGAGGTTGAGGCAAATCGCCTGGCCACTGATTACGCGCAGCCAGACACCAGGGCGGTTAGAAGAGTACAGGAGGGCCTGGTGCACATCAGAGAAGCTTTGAAAACCAGTTTCAGGAATGGCCAGGCTATGGTGTGAAAGTTCTGTTTGTTTCTCCTTGATGGAAACGCCTCCCCCGCCCCCGGTTCACTCTACTTTCCTGTAAGCTAAGCACCCTCCCCTCCCCTCCCCTCCCCCTTCGATCTCTGCTTGCAGAGGCAATAAACTCATTGTTGCTTCGCATTCATGCATTCTTTATTTATTCTTCACACAAATATAACTGCCAAGGTAGCCCGGGAGGGGTGGTGGAGGAGGGAAGGACAAGGCCACACAGCACTTTAAAACTTATTGAATGCCAGTCTTCTGTTGCTTGGGCAGTCCTCTGGGGTGGAGTGGCTGGGTGGCCGGAGGCCCCCCACCCAACATTCTTGGGCGTCTGGGTGAGGAGGCTATGGAACTTGGGGAGGAGGGTGGTTGATTACACAGGGGCTGTAACGGTGGTCTATGCTCCTGCTGCCTTTCCTGCAGCTCAACCGGAGCCTACGAGTTTGATCCTCCAGCAGCCTGAGCATTGACTCCTGCCTTCTTTCAGCAAGCTGACACCACCTACCATCTTCAGCCCACCACCTCTCCTCATGGTCATATTGTGTTTTCCTGAACTCTCAGACTGTCTGCCTCCTCATATTTTGCTGTGCTCTGTCACTGTGGGAGACAGCATGAGGTCAGAGAACATTTCATCACGAGTGCGTTTTTTTTGCCTTCTAATCTTCGCTAGCCTATTGGAAGGAGAAACATATGCAGCTGGTAGAGGGGAAAAAAAAGGAGAGTAGCAGGTAAAAAGACGCATTTTATAGAACAATGGGTACACTCTTTCACAGTAAACCTTGCTGTTAACATTACATAGCACATGTGCTTTCATTACAAGGTTGCATTTTGCCTCTTATTGAGGGTATGCCGGTTTGGTGTGAGAGATCACTCATGCAGGGCCGGGCAACAGAATTCGGCTTGCAGGCAGTCATGGTAAGCCACAGTCTTTTGGCTTCTTTAACCTTCATAACATGTGGGAATGGTTTCAAACAGCAGCGCCCTCATTTCCCATATGAAGTAGCCGTTGGGTTGGCCATTTAAAATGGGTTGGCAATTTAAAAGGAGGGACTGCGGTTTCCACGTTCACGTGCAGCAGAAACCCAACTAACCCCCACCCCGCCCACCCACCCACCCATAGAGTTCTCTGGGATGATGGCTTCACCCCTCTCCCCACCGCGTGGCTAACAGCGGGTGAGATTTCTGTTCAGCCCCAGACCAACAGCCCAGCAGGAATGGGCACCTCTGAATGTCCGCTTACTAAAACCACCCTATTTCAACCAGGTGACCATGAATGATATCACTCACCTGAGGGTAACACAGAGAGATAAAGAAGGATGTTGTTTGAATGCCAGCAAACACTAGAACCATACACTGCAATGCTTTGTTCTGCAATGATTCCCGACTAAGTGCTACTGGCCTGGTGTGGTAAAGTGTCCTACCATGGAGGACGGAATAAGGCTGCCCTCCCCAGAAACCTTTTGCAAAGGTTTTGGGAGTACATCCAGGAGAGCTTTATGGAGATGTCCTTGGAGGATTTCCGCTCCATCCCCAGACACGTTAACAGACTTTTCCAGTAGCTGTACTGGCCGCGAATGCCAGGGCAAATTAATCATTAAACACGCTTGCTTTTAAACCATGTACAATATTTACAAACGTACACTCACCAGAGGTCCCTTCTCTGCCTAGCGGGTCTGGGAGGCAGACTTGGGTGGGTTCGGGGGATACTAGGTACAGGTACAGGGTGATAAACAGACCCTGGCTGTTGGGGAAACCGGTTTCTCCGATTCCTTGCTGTGAGCCATCTACAACCTCCTCCTAATCATCATCTTCCTCACCCCCAAAATCCGCTTCCGTGTTGCCTCCCACTCCTTGGATGGAGTCAAAGCATAGGGTTGGGGTAGTGGTGGCTGCACCCCCTAGAATGACATGCAGCTCGTCATAGAAGCGGCATGTCTGGGGCTCTGAACCGAAGCAGCCATTTGCCTCTCTGGTTTTTTGGTAGGCTTGCCTGAGCTCCTTAATTTTCACGTGGCACTGCTGCGGGTCCCTATTATAACCTCTGTCCTTCATGCCATTGGAGAGTTTTTCAAATATTTTGGCATTTCGTCTTTTCTAA